CTGGGCAATATAGCAAGACCCTGTTTCAAAATAAAAGAGTAAAAAAAATGTAAAGATAGAATACATAGCATGTATGAAAGGATTATGATATGTACAACATTTAGCTAAAAACTTTGGATTGTTCCATTTAGTCTATGTAACAACCCTATGAAGTAACTGTTCATACTGCTGTAGAGGAAAGAAAGGTTAGATTACTTATCGAGGAACTATCACAGCCAGTTTAGGAACCCATTTATCTGAACCACAGCCCATGCTTCCTCTGTTACACTATAATGTTTCCAAAAGTTTTGCAATCTAACATGCCAATTAAGCAGTTCTAAAATCATGTCTACTCCATGAATACTTTCTCTTACCAAAGTGACAAAGAGCCACTGTGTCTATTTCTCTCAAAACTCTTTATTCCTCATGTCACTGTTCCCTTCTTGGTGGGTATTTTCATCTTTTTTATTTTTGAGATGGAGTCTTGCTCTGTCGCCCAGGCTAGAGTGCAGTGGTGCAATCTCGGCTCACTGCAACCTCCACCTCCTGGGTTCAAGCAATTCTCTCCTGCTTCAGTCTCCCGAATAGTTGAGATTATAGACGCACACCATGACACCCAGCTAATTTTTGCATTTTTAATAGATACAGAGTTCCACCATGTTGGACAGTCTAGTTTTGAACTCCTGACCTCAGGTGTTCTGCCCACCTTGGTCTCCCAAAGTGCTGGGATTACAGGCGTGAACCACCACGCCTGGCTGGTATTTTCATCTTTTAAATTTTCTTCTTTATGTAGACCTTGAAAGGCTTTTCTAAATCATTGTCATCTATTTTAGATTACGAATGACCAGTTTTAAAAACTTCTCTATTTCTTTTACATTTTATTGTTCATTCAACTAGACAGGTAACCGGATGATGACAAGGATGTTGGTAGTCTAAACATCCCTGCCTGTGTTATTTCCTGATGGGTATTGGTTGACATAACTTCTTTCATTTCCAGACTTGTGTATTCTCCATCTCTTTTTCCCATCCCTGTTTGTGATCCCTTTGTCATGCATCTAGAGTCGCAAATATGACTGGTAATGGCATGATGAGATATTTATTCTTATTTGTAACTTACCAGTGATTAACATGTAAAGGATAGACTAGAATTCAGATTGTTTTCTTCAAATAAAACTTACTGAAATTACTCTTGGTAAACTGAAAGAAAAGCAAAAAGAGTTTAATAACTTGCAAGAAGACATGTGGGTAATAGCACTTTTTATGTCTGTAAATGTCCTTCTTTTTTTCAAGAGATATTAAATACACTTGGCTTCTATAGCACTGCTTATATTATGGGCTGATGCTCAATAAACACTTATGAGTGAATGAATGAATAAATACATGGAATTGGGAAGCTATTTTATATCTTTCAAATTTTAGAAATACAAAGAGAGTTAAGTTTCTACGATAATTACCAGAATTAACTTTACCTCCTAGTACTTTACAATTTTGACTAAAAATTACCACTAATCTATCCTATTTTGCATTTGCTGTGAATTTTTAAATCAAATGTTACCTTTTGATATGTTAAACCTCAGAGGTAGTGAGAGCATGAAGGAGAAAAAGAAAACTTCAGATATTTCAAGCCCTAACAGTTTCTTTCTCTCTTTCTCATAACCATACAATATTTTTCCTGACAGAGTATCACTTATAAAATTGAAATTTCTCCACTGGGCGTGGTGGCTCACACCTGTAATTCCAGTACTTTGGGAGGCCAAGGCGGGTGGATCACCCAAGGTCAGGAGTTCAAGACCAGTCTGGCCAACATGGTGAAACTGCATCTCTACTTTAAAAAAAAAAAAAAAAAAAAGGAAAAGAAAAAGAAATTTTTCTTTAAAAAACATACACACATGTGCTATTAACAAGAAATACTTAAAAATAAAATTTTGCTCTGTTTATTAAGCAAACCTTATTATTTGCTTTAAATCCTAGGAAAAAAGACATTGTGGGTCCATATAACTGTACTGTAATTTTTTAAAAACATTACTGAATGCCACAAATCTGTATTACCATTCCAGTTTACAGTGACTAATTTAAGGATATTAGTATCCTGTTATTTGCAAAGGAATTCACAAGGAAACCCAAAACAATTGGAAAAGACAATGGAAAAATGTTACACAGAGTTTTAGATGAATCAACTGTGGCAAAAAAAAATTGAATCAGATTGGCCGATGAACTAATGCTAAGTAAAAATGCAGAAATGAGCTATCTAAGCTTTCGTTTCCTTCTTATCTTTTATATCATGTGGCCATAAAGTTATTTTCCTCTAGATTTTTTTCCATTGGATAATTTATTTGATACCACTGATAGAAAGAACCATCTGAACTGAAAATGCAAGCTGAGAAAAAAATTTGAGTAACAGGCTTGGCTTACCTATAATGTATTTTAGTAAAAGGTGGTATATCTTAACATGAGTTACATGAGCCACTGTGTTGTACCACTCCAGGAGCATCGTGTTATAGAATGTCCTGTGAGCAGTGCTCCCTGGATTTGGGCAGTGGTACAGGAGATATGGACAATCTGTGATGATTTTGGCTTCAAGAATATTTGCCATGTGTTGTTGTAGTCGGACAAATATTTTCTCATCTTTTATGGTACTTGTGTTTTTTTAAGATTCACCATAGTCTATAAACAATGTCAGCACATCTAATTTTAAACAGCTTTTTCATAGCCTTTAGAAATAAAAGCGGGAACTTTATAGGAAACAGGAAAGATATTGCTCTGTGCAATCCATTTAAAGTCTGAAAATGCAGAGGTTTTCAAGTGCAAGGAGACTGAGAAGTCAAGAAGATAGTAGTGCTTTGAGCTAGAGTCAGATTTCTCTGCCGAATCAATATTCTTAGAATTCTCAGTGCTTCTTGGTGCAATGGGGAATTCTGTATGGAGGTTTTCTTTTTTAACTCCTTAACTTTTAAAAGCTTTTCTTCTAACTCACTGTATAGGAGGAATTTGCATAGAGTGGATACTAGACAAGATCTCAGACTTGGTGTCTTACTTTAGAAGCCATGGTAGTTTAATGTCATTCATGTGAAAAATGCACATTTACTCATAATGGAGTGAGGAGGCGCTGTTGTTTTTATTTATTTTATTTTATTTTTTTAATTATTATACGTTAAGTTCTAGGGTACATGTGCACAACGTGCAGGTTTGTTACATATGTATGCATGTGCCATGTTGGTATGCTGCACCCATTAACTCGTCATTTTACATTAGGTATTCCCCCTAATGCTATCCCTCCCCCCTCCCCCACCCCACGACAGGCCCTGGTGTGTGATGTTCCCCTTCCTGTGTCCAAGTGTTCTCATTGTTCAATTCCCACCTATGAGTGAGAACCTGCAGTGTTTGGTTTTCTGTTCTTGCGATAGTTTGCTCAGAATGATGGTTTCCAGCTTCATCCATGTCCCTACAAAGGACATGGACTCATCCTTTTTTATGGCTGCATAGTATTCCATGGTGTATATGTGCCACATTTTCTTAATCCAGTCTATCATTGATGGACATTTGGGTTGGTTCCAAGTCTTTGCTATTGTGAATAGTGCCACAATAAACATACGTGTGCATGTGTCTTTATAGTAGCATGATTTATAATCCCAGTAATGGAATGGCTGGGTCAAATGGTATTTCTAGTTCTAGATCCTTGAGGAATCGCCACACTGTCTTCCACAATGGTTGAACTAGTTTACACTCCTACCAACAGTGTTAAGAGTGTTCTTATTTCTCCACATCTTCTCCAGCACCTGTTGTTTCCTGACTTTTTAATGATTGCACATGAAAAGCTTTGAAGAATAAGAGCAGGCAATTGGAAGAATTTACCAACCAATAAAGAATATTCCAAAAAAAAGAATGAAAGGAAAAGAGGCCTGGAAATGTTAACAAGAGCAAAAAACGTTTTGTTATTCACCAAAAATTGCTGTCGGAAAACAAGATAATCTCTTTTCTAATTTTGTCTCTCACAAGCCTTCCTTAAATTTTACCTCTTCTGCGAAGTTTTCTCTTCCTCTCCATACTGAAATCTCTGTCTGAATTCCTGCAAACAATGTGAGAGCCTGTGTGGTATAGTAATGAAGTACTAAGATACAACCAGATCACCTCAGTTAGTGTCCTAATATCAATTAACCTTGAAAAATCCACACCACCTCTGTATGCACTGATTTGCTCATTTAAGAAATGGATCCTAACAGTACCTGCCTCATGTGGTCCTTATGAGTATTGAAACGGGAAATACATGGAGAGCTCATATGAGCACTCAATGAAAGGCGGCATTATTCTATTGTGTGCCGCAGGCTACGGCATTTGATTATTTGTTGTCATGGTCTGCCTGAATGACTTTCTAAGGCATGACATATCAACATTCTTAAACACATGCTGTTGTCTTTTTCCTTGGTTGGATTTTTCTATATCCATTGTATTTTTTTTTTTTTTAATGTCAGTTTCCTCAGTTAGGACCTATATCATTTACTTGTTTATTTCCTACAGTCTTTGGTACAAAGCTAAGGATTTTTAGCACCTAAAATTCTAGTTCTTAGATCTGCATGGGACTATGGAATAATGTATTAGCTACAAGGATACTGAAGACCCAGGGACCGGAAGTTCACGACCACGGCTCACACAGCCCGTTGTACTTCCTACTATGTTATGTAATTCTTGCCTCATTATAATAAAGAAAATCTAAAATTAGAGTGACTTTTTAAAAAAAAAAAGTACAAAGGTTTGATATGGTAAGAAAAAGGATTGAGCATTATTGTACTAAATTATATATAATCAGTGTTTTATTTTTGGATGTATAAAGTTAATAAGTTGTAGCCATGATTTTTTTCTCGTTGTTCTATAACTGCATAATTATAACTTTATTGTAACTTAATGGTTTTCTCCTAAAGTAGGCATTGTATATTTTTGATGAACTTTCGGTGAGTTGAATTTGTGAATTATCTTCCATGGGCTGCTGCCCACTTTGAAATGACTGAGCCTTGCTGTTTTAACAGGTTGTGGTGGAGAGCTGTCTGGGGCCACAGGCTCCTTCAGCAGCCCCGGGTACCCCAACACGTATCCACCCAACAAGGAGTGTATCTGGTACATTAGGACGGCCCCCGGGAGTAGCATTCAGCTCACCATCCATGACTTCGATGTGGAGTATCATTCAAGATGCAACTTTGATGTCTTGGAGGTAGGAAGTGAGATGGTTTTTTCAGTACATCCCAAAGTTTGGGGTAGAACAGGAAATCACTGCCAAGATTCCGAATTCTTTCCAGTAGTCAGCAGTGTTCTATTCTTAGACATTTTAATGAGCATCAGCCCTTCGGTGATCATTTGGTAGACATGGGATTAATATGTGGTTTGGGTTTCCCTGAAGCAATGCCTGAAGGCCTTGGCTGCAGCTGAGTTAGGTGATGCTGGGAAGCAGGAGCCCAGGACCAGTGAGTGAAGGAAAGGGGGAGGGGAACCAGCAGAGGGAGCCCCTGGGGGCAACTTGGACTCTCTGTGCTGGGAGGCTCTGAAGGACCATACTGGAGGCACTCATCCCCCCACTCTGGTTCCCATTGGTAAGGACTGTGCTTGGGATGGCTCACACCTCACCCTTGCAGTCTGAGAAAGCTCCCCCAGAAAAAGCATTCGCGTGGCGGAGCATAGGGACTGGCCCTGCCAACAAGCACAGCGACGGCCTGCCAGAGCTGCTGCTGCTCTTCAAGGGGCGCCAGGGCCATCTGCCTCAGAGGGCTTTTGCAAAAAAATGGCCACCTAGGTAGCGTGAGGCATTTGAAGATGAAAATTTTCCCAGCGCTACTGCAAAGGGTGTGTCTCGGATCATTAAAATAGTCTTTGAGAATCTTGAGCCCAAAAGTTTATTATAATCAATTTTTAATTGCAGGAATCTAGTCATTAGAATATGCGTGTGTGTGTATATATATATATTTTTAAATATATAGTTTTAAAATATTTTGTTATAATTTATAAAATTATATAAATATTTGTTATAATTATATAACATACTATATAATTACATTATTTATATAATATTCTTATATAATTTTATAACATATATAGATGTCCCAGATATATGTAATATTATGTAGTATATTATATACTTACATTATAAATTATAGTTAATAATTACAAATATTAACATTTATTATTATAATAAATTATATTGTTATATATTTTAATGTAAGTATACCATATACTACATAATTATGTCATATGTTATATATAGTTACATATATGTAACACGTTTATTATGTATACTTTGAACTTTGACCTGTCTGCAAACTTTAATGTCTTCCAAATACACACAAAAATCCTGTCACCTCAGCTCTAGGGACTGCTGTAGCACAGCATGACAAGGATTCTATATCCAGTAGAACCTAAATTCCATGAGGCTAGATATTTGTTTGCTTTGTTTTACTGCTATATTCCCAGCTCCACAGAGTACCTGGCAAATAGTAAACACTCAATAGAAGTTTGTGGAATGAATGAAAGCATCAAAGTCTCTGATTGGCACACCATAATAATGTATATTTAGGGTACTTTACAAAGGAATTTTTGCCTCCATGTTCTCATTTAAACATGAAATCATTCCATGAGGTAAGAGGGGAAGTTTATTCCCATTTTACAGTGGTCAAAACTAAGTCTCAAAAAGATTAATGGGTTTTTCCATGACCACATGGAAGGGGAGTGGAAGAGCTGATAACTGAAGCCAGTCACTGCTCAACACTCCAGTAAACCCTGAGACCATAGATGGGTGCAGGGTGCAAGGAGTTGATATGAGTAATATGGACGTTACAAGAAACTTTAACAAAAACTTTAATTATAAAACAAGTTCTTACCTTGAAAAGAAATGAAGTCATCCCCTCAGTGAGAATCACTAGGAATTACTTTTAGCAATTCATCACGAAATCATTCAATCACTACTTTCAGTAATTCATTACTTTCAGTAATTTAGTAAAGTCATCCTTCTCGGTGAGAGTCACTAGGAATTACTTTTAGTAGCTCTAAAAGACTTACCAGTTTTATCTCTGATTTCATTTACTGTAGCTCTACGGACAATTTGCTGTTGTCTGATGATAGAGCTACAGTAAATGAAATCGGATAGAACTAGAAAGTCTTCACGGAAGGACTGCTGCCGAGTCATGACTCCATCTCAGAGGAGAAACAAGGTGCCTCCTGAAATTCACACTCACAGCACAAAGTAGTACTGGCATCCACGTGCAGAATGTTCAGATGGCCTCGCTCGCCAGCAAGGATATTGCTTGGTTGCACTAAACCCCTTATCACTTACAAAGGGCTGGTGGCGGATCTTCCACAGCTATATGCCCTGTTCCAAACCCTTTATTTTCATACTCCAAAGTGCATGTGATTGTTGCCCACTTGGCAAAATATAAATGGGCCAGTTGTGTTTCATGTGTCACGCCCATCGTGGGAGAAAGTAGAGACAGGGGCTGTTCCCTGAAAGCAGGCCTGGGGCCTGAGGGACAAAATCAGGGACTCCAGGCAGAAGCAGCTTTCAGGGAGAGCCCTATGCCTGACAGAAATGGCTGTGAGAAGACACATAGTCTGCTTGGGGCTTATTTTTATTACGACAAGCTGACATTGCAGTGGCCTCCCACGTTCCACCAAAAACAGGGCTTGGGGGACTATTTTGAGGCCCTTAAATATTTGGAGAATTTTTTTCTTTTTTTCTGAAAGCTAAAATGAGCAGCCCTCTGACACTTTGTTCAAAAGCCTTGTTTTGCTTTTCTGCAAATGCTCAACTCATGTGGAAACTGCTGTAATAAAATTGGGCTAATGGCGGTGGAATGGTTTTTTTCACCCCTCCCTAGCTGCCAATAACATGTTAGTAGTGGGTTTAAAGGTTGTTACCCATGGTGGGCATGTGATCTAAAAACTTTGCTGACTTTCTCAGCCTGCATGTGAGTGTAGGCAAGTGGGGCCTTACAGTCACTAAATATTGGGCTTACCTGGATTTCACAAAATTTATTCAGGAGTCATTTTTTCCCTCAAAAATCAGAGTCCAGAAACCAAACAGCCCGTTGCAAAAAGCAATAGCTGTTTGGTTACTCATAACCCCGGAATGCTGACTTGATTGTAACAATAAATGGAGCTAACAGAGCAGAAAGAAATGTTCAAAACAGATTAAAACCATAGGCTTTGAAATGTTCTCCCTCCTGAGCATTTGCTAAAACACATTTTTAAATCTGTGATCATCAGACCACTTCTTTTCCCCCCAAAGTTTAGTCATATGCTGTAGTTGAATGAACCACGCCCTGAAATGCTTTCCTTCTTTTTCTTCTTTTGAAGAGTCATGTGCTAACTATCGATTTTATTTGTGGAAGCCAGAAGGACCATTGTTTCGGTCATGGAAACACTCTGCCTGATTTCGCTTTAATCTCTGAGAAAGTCTTTAGAGAGATTCTGAACTGGCATCAGGCAGAAAAGGAAATCCACTCCTTGAAGCAGTAAACCAGGACAATTGCTTGGTGTGGACAGTTAGCTCGGTCTGGCCTCTCTGCGATAGGCTTTTGTGAGCTCAGCCTTGCAAGAAGGGAAGCAAATAATGTCCAAAGTGGCAGTGTTTATTCTTCTAGAGGCTTCTAGGTCCAGCCAACTCATACCCATTATGTTTGTGATCTCAAGGGGATGTATGAGCAGAGAAAACAAAGAATATTTTGCTGATGTGCGAGTTTTCTTTGTTAGAACTTAACACTTGCGCTCAGTGGTCTCTCTAAATACGTGCTGTTGATTGGGCTGGGGTGATTGGGAACACATGCTGTCAGTTTTCATGCTCTGGGGACTGTTCCCTAGGCGAGGGGGTAGGGAGATCTTGAAAATGGGAAAGAAAGCTGACTCTACACACCAAGCAAGCTTGCTTCTGCCATTTGCATATGTGTACGTGCCAGGGGCCACACAGGGCTCTTCCTAAAGTCCTGCTTTTGATGGGACTTGGGGGGAGTGCACAAACATCAGCTCCTCCTAATAAAAATAAGCCTGAAGCAGTTGGTCTGCTTCATTCCTTTGCAATTACTGTCCTTGTGCTCAGCCCTCTGTGGAACAGCAGTTTCATTCATTTTGGCCTTTCCCGGATGGCTGGGGGGAATTAATCAGACAAAGAAATCATTATAGATTCAAATCACACACTCCTCCCCAAAGTAGGCTTCTTGTTCTCACTCCCTCTCCCCAGAGAACACTTGAGTGATTTTCCTATCAGTCAGCAGTGGGCCTTGAGGGTGGGCAAGGGCCGGGGGTGCTGAGGAATCAGGGCAGAGTGTCCCGAGGTGGGGGAAAGGCACAGAGGGAGGGTGGGAAGGCACTGTGCCCAGATGCCCCTGAGAGCTGCCTTCCTGGCTCTGGTCCTGAGTGCCTGTACATGGAGGGCTGGGGTTGCAGTTGTGAAGGTCTCAGATACCAATGTCTTTGAAAACTCTCTCCCAAAGATGGTCTTTCTTTTACAAATTGAAGTTTGAAGACCTGAAGATGAGAAGTCAGCATCTTCTATTTGATTCTCATCCTCCCTTCGCCACCCTCCCCAGACCCACACATACACACAGGAGACAAACAGGACCCAGAGGAGACTGAGAAACCTGTCTGTGAGGCCTCCTGGAGGCCTGGCCTAGGCTATCCGTGGCTGCAAGATGCCCTCTGTGAGCCCAAGGGGACCCTTTCCAGAGGACGACATCACTGGGCTAGTGGATTCCAGTCAGACAGACAAGTTTGGCAAATTTGGAGGAGCCTATGTGGTCTGAAGTCATGTGCAACAGATCTAGAAGTGAAACAGGAGAGTTCCCTAGCCACCCCTTCTCAGGACGTGTGACAGGGGTGTGGCTCATCTGTTCAGCTGCTGTGCCCTCAAACCCGTTATGGGACGGGGAGCACACAGACTGGCAGGTGCAGGAACCCAGGCAAGATGCTACCCACGGTAGGGTCTAGTAGTGGGTGCCTGTGACTCTCAAAGCCCCCATGGGCAGGGTACAGTGTTCTTTTAGCTCTGCCATCCACAGACAGCTTAAGTGTTAACCAGCTCAGTGACTCTTGGTACTCGCATTCTTGTCTGGCCTCCAGGAAGAATCAGGTCACATATGGTCTTGAAGGATGGTGAATGTGGAGATTTTATTGGGTGATGGAGGTAGCTGTCAGTGGAATGGATGGGGAACTGGAAAGGGGATGGAGTGGGAAGATGATCTTCCCCCCTGGAGTTCGGTTGTCCCACGGATGATCAATTGTCTGACCATCCCCAGCCAAACTCCTCTCAACGTTCAGATGCTCCTTCTCCTCTCTCCTTCTCTGCCATGTCATTCTTCTCCTCCTCTGCTCTTCTGTTCATGTGCTCATCTGCTCGTGGACCCTGGGGTTGGAGGTTTATATGGGTACAGGATATGGGGACGTGGCAGGCCAAAAGGCAACATTTGGGTGTGAAAACAAGAATGCCTGTTCCCATTTAGGGCTGCAGGTTTCCAGGCTTGGGGGTGGGGCTTTGCCAGGAAACCACCCTCTTCTACCCAGTATTTCCCTGTCTCCTGTCCGTATCAGAAGGAGCCATCTGGAGACTAAGGCAGAGTCTAGGGCAATCCCTGAGCAGAAAAGCGGCATGCACTTTGTCAGGTTCCTGGGCGTGGGCGTGCTGGGAGCAGGCACAGGGAGAGTGCATAGCATCCCCTTCCTTAGGCTCCAAAACCCACCCAGAGAGCTGGTATTTCCATTCCTAAAGAAGCGTAAGCGTTATATTCAATGTGTGGTCTTAGAAAACATTGTTTGCAGGTTAGGAGGAAATTCCTAAAAATATAACTGGGATATTGGTAGCCCTCAGTGAACTCAACTTTCATAAGAAAATGGCTTTATGCTAAGACTAATCATGTGTGCCTATAAGAGTTAGAAAATCAGACATTTCTTTTTTTTATGTCCCCCTAAAATTCAGAAACTAAGACTTCATACTGTATGATCTGTAATGTTTCTGCTAGAGAAATCAGGAAATCCCATGAAGACATGAAAAAGACAAAAAGAGGAGATAGGGAAGATTCTGGAATAATCTACTCCATCCTCCTCTGCAATTCTGGCTGATGAAACAAGCAGGCATTTTATGGGTGATTGACCTTGTGTGTTCCTAAGGCAGAGGGAGTGCCTTTGAAAACTCAGCTCGAGTTTATAGTGCATCCCCACCCAGGGAGGCTGAGATTTCACTCTCTAATCATCGTAGAACCCAAGGAGCCAGGGGTTAAAATGAGCCAGGGGAAGGGCCTGTAATTGCCTAAAATATTTTTTAAAGTCTTTTTTCCTGCATCCCATGCTAGATCTATGGAGGCCCCGATTTCCACTCTCCCAGAATAGCCCAATTGTGTACCCAGAGATCACCTGAGAACCCCATGCAGGTGTCCAGCACTGGAAATGAGCTAGCAATTCGATTCAAGACTGACTTATCTATAAACGGGAGAGGCTTCAATGCTTCATGGCAAGCAGTCCCTGGAGGTGAGTGAAAAAAGGAGGTTTCCTAAAGTACTTAAGCTAAGCCTTTGTTAAATTTCGTGAAATGCTTGGGAACACGTATGAAGGCTATGCCCTGACTGATAAGTTAGTGACGTCCCAAAGGGAAGCCTACTGAGACCTGACATGTGCACTTCCCTAAAATACGCGATAAAGTTTAACTTCCTAAGGGTCACCGCATATGTGAAAACAAGAATGCAAGTGTGTAAGTCCATGGTGAGAGCGGAACTAGAGTGATAGGCCAGACCCACTCTCCAAGGGCTCGTACCTCTTAACCAGCCTCCATACCTCATGCCACAGTACAGACCTTTGGATTCTCGGCAAATATCAAACTTGCAAACATTGAATTCGTGAATCCCAAGGAATTACTGTGTGTTCTATGGTGACTTTCTGCCCAAGATTTTAGGTAGTCTAAATAAATTACCTGTTGTGTATTTTTAAACTATAATAACAAACTATGGCACGAAATAGTTTAATAGATGTTAGCATATACAACTACTAGAGAGAGCCACATTTGCAGAAGGCTTACTGTGTACCAGGCACTTTTCTAAATATTTTATGAGGATCTCCTTTAGTCTTTACAACCACCCTATGAAGGAAGTCCGTTTCATATCCTCATCTCACCAGTGTGGACACCAAAGCTTAGAAAGGTCAGTGACTTGCCCGAAGTTCCACAGCTAGAAAATGTCAAAGCACATATGTGATCCCAGGCTCCCTTATGGCCACACTTCTTCAGCAGTACCATAACCAAGGTAATATAAGAGCTCTCCCCTAAAGTTAATTATGTAGGAATTTAAATACACACACACACACACACACAGTGTTTAGATTACCCCTAAATCATTCTCCATTATTAGAAAATGGTGCCAAATTTTTCCATTATTGGTTTATATTATCATAAATCCAAGAAATGGTGGGTCATAGAGAAGACATTGCAGTAAAAGGTATCTGATAACATCAAAGGAATTTTTAAAGACCTAAGTAACTGTACTATATCCAGAATATTAAATTTTTAAAGGGTAGATATTAAATTATTTTTAAATACATGTACTACTAGATTATCACAATTCTTGGAAGGAAACATATTATTCTTCCAGTATGCTATATTTTTAGAGGACAATGAAGAAGCAGTGTTCCATGGCTTTGTGAAAACGTGATTTCATTTGTGTTTCCTTTTAGTTATTTTTAAAAATAACTTTTGGCATCTGTATTTAAAGTGTTTGAAGTATTTTTCTTAGTATCATCCATGTCATTCCTTCTTCTTCTGTTGGGATAAATGACTTAATGTGGATATCAAGTTCTTCAGCATTTTTAGCATAGACTAACCAAAATTGATAGTCAAGCAAAGTAGGTATTGATCTGTACAACCAGGTAATGGATGATTGTAATGCATCCATGATTCCTCTCACGAAATAATTGTGTTCTGCACTTCCAGGTTGTGGTGGGATTTTCCAGGCTCCCAGTGGAGAGATTCATTCTCCAAATTACCCCAGTCCTTACAGGAGCAACACGGACTGTGCTTGGGTTATTCGGGTTGACAGAAATCACCGTGTTCTCTTGAACTTCACTGACTTTGATCTTGAACCACAGGACTCTTGTATTATGGTAAGTGACGTAAATTTCAAGCATTGTCTGCAGTCAAACCTGGGTCAAAACACTGCCATATAAGCATATTTAGTGAATGTATTACTTATGGGTGTTTTTAACGTCAAATCATAGGAAACCAAACTATTAGCAACTTAAAATATAAGGACATTTATGTTTTACCTAAAAACAAATCAGGAAGTAGATAATTTCAGGGTTTGTTTAGCAAGTCAATTTCTGCTCTACCATGATTAGCATGTTGGCTTTTCATTGTATGAAAGTATGAAGAGTATGAAGAAGTCATGGTCAAAAAATGGCTGCAGTGGTTTTTATCTGAATGTCCTACCTGAGTCTACCTCTGAAAAAAGGAAGAAGGAATAGTGTTAACTATTTCTATTTTGTATGTGTTTCTTTTAATAAGGAAAGCAAATTTTCCACAAAAGCCCCCGATATATCATTAGCCAGAACTGACTACAAAAGAGATCCAGAAAGTATCATGGAATAGATTTATCATAAATGTTTTAGATCAATTATTATTAAGCCTCTGGGATTTTCACAGGATTCTGCTTCTCTTGAGACCAGGATATCTTGATTTGCTGCTTGAACGAATCCATGTTCTGATAGAGCAAGTTGGGAGACGGGAGTGTGGGAGAAGGAATATGGCTATGAATTGGGCAGATAACAAAAAAAGTTTCTGCTACTGAGATGGGAGAATTTCCTTGACTCCTGCACAGGACTTGCGAAGCGGGTGGCTTATTTGCTTGGCTGCTTAGCTGAATTCAGGAGGGAGCACACAAACAGACGAATGCAGGAACCGGGGTAAACGAACCCTGGAACTGGCTGGTCCCTCCTCTCTGGTGGGAGCAGGCTCTGTGCATGGCCTGTGCAGCGTCCAAACACGTTACAATGCTCTTTTAGCTCTGCCATCTCGGAGAGGGTGTCTGCGACCCCCAGAGCCCCAAAGGGCATGTGTTACAATCAGTGCTCTTTTAGCATTTGCTGTCCATGGACAGCTAAGTGTTAACCAGTTCAGTGGAGGGTCAGGGTGACAGCCTTTTACACCCTGACCTCTTGGTACCCGAGTTCTTGTCCGGTGTCCAGGAAGAATCAGGTCACATGAACAAATTGAAGGGTGGTGAATGTGAAGAACTTTATTAAGATGTAGAAGTGGCTCTCTGCAGTAAGGGGAGCTTGAAAGGGGTTGGAGGAAGTGGGTTGCAGGAAGATAATCTTCCCCTGGAGTCTAGCCTTCCTTGGCTGAACTCCTCTTTGACCATAGTCTCCGATGTCCAGCTCCTTCTTCTCTTGACATTCAGACACTTCTGTCTTCTGTGTGTGTGTGTGTGTGTGTGTGTGTGTGTCTGCTGAGTCTGGGGCTTGGTGTTCTTATGGGCACCAGATGGGGGCAGGGAAAACCAAAAGGCAACATTTGGGTGGGAAAACAGGGATTGGTTTTCACTTTGAGCGGCAGATCCAGGCTTAAGGGTGGAGCACTCATCAGGGACCTCAACCTCTTCTACCAAGCATTTTCCTGCCTCCTGTCCCATCACTACTACCAACACTTTTAAGGCATTCCTACCTGAAACTAATGCTTTATGCTTAATATAAGAGTGAATGAAGTTTTATTTTGAGGGTTTCTTTTTTCTTTCTGTTTTTAATTTTTTTGGCTACCTGATTTTCTTTTGTTATTATTATTATTATACTTTAAGTTATGGCACACATGTGTAGAACCTGCAGGTTTGTTACATAGGTATACACATGCCATGGTGGTTTGCTGCACTCATCAACCTGTCATCTGCATAAGGTATTTCTCCTAATGCTATTCCTCCCTTAGCCCCCCACCCACCAACAGGCCCTGGTGTGTGATGTTCCTCTCCCTGTGTCGCGTGTGTTCTCCATTGTTCAAACTCCCCCCCTTATGAGCTCGAGCAATATGGCGGTATTCTGGTTTTTTGTATCGCTGTGTTCAGTTTGCTAAGAATGAACTGGTTTCCAGCTTTCAATCTGTCCCTCGTAAACATACATGAACTCATGCCTTTTT